CAAGCCAGGATTGGGCTTTGTCCCAAAGCAACCCTTCTTTTTAAGGGCAGGAAGCAAAACTTTGGAATCAGCTCTGCTCCCAGGGGAAGAAAACATATTAATCTACAACCAGCAAAAATCTAATCCTAAATGAATTGAAACTAATCCTTCAGGAAATAACTTGCTCAGATTTTTATTGCATCTTGGGTACTTATCCCCCATTGCATTCTGGGTACTCATGTCCTTCTACAGCCACATAGCATCTGCAATATCCTTTTGATGGGATTCATCATGACTCAACCCTGCACTGTCAGCACAACATTTTTAAGCTATCTACTCTCCCCAGAGCAAAGCTGCCAGCTCTTTGTAGCTTTATTTTACCTTCTGCGCTAAAGAAATCAGGTAGGAACTGAATAGAAACTGGAAAAGTCTGGCTGCTGTCTTCAGGTTCATATGCCGCTGCTCTCCCTGCTGTAGACATGATAAACAACCTCAGCAGGTTCTGTTGAGCTGACTTCTCTGATGCCAATAAAAAGTATGAGAAAATAGCCACAGCATTCACAAAGCAGGGATTGGTTGGTTCAAGATAAAATTAAGCCTGGCTTTCACAGCATGGTGGAGCAACAGAAAAAGACATGTTATTCAGGCAAATGCTGTACATACAGTGCAGTACTGTGCCCGAAGGAGAATGGGAGGACGCCTCTCTAGCTGTACACACACAGAGAGAGGGAATTTTGTTAACAGTATTCCTAAAAGCAGTGGATGTAATTACTGCAGATGGAATAGGAATGACTTTTTCTGACACTGAAAATGGAGTGCTAGGAAAACCTGCCACTGACGGGTCATACCTGTGCATTTGGCATGCCATTTGTTGATTGGTTACACAACCCCCTGTGGTAACTACAACAAAGCAGACCAGCAGTGATGTTTGAGGGTCCACAAGGTGACTGAGACATCTATCTATCTATCTATCTATCTATCTATCTATCTATCTATCTATCTATCTATCTATCTATCTATCTATCTATCTATCTATNTCTATCTATCTATCTATCTATCTATCTATCTATCTATCTATCTATCTATCTATCTATCTATCTATCTATCTATCTATCTATCTATCTATCTATCTATCTATCTATCTATCTAATTTGACTTTTGTACCGCCCATCTGGCTGCCAAGGCCACTCTAGGTGGTTTACAACTAAAAAACAGATAAACAATAATATGAAACAATAAACACAATAATGAACAAAATCAAAATTAAACATCAAATAAATATTGACTGATGACATAAGTAACTCATATACTCATTCCATGTAACCTATGTGGTGAATAATAATGCTTATATAGTGGTGCCTCACTTAACGACGATAATCCATTCCAGGAAAATCGCTGTTAAGCGAAAACATCATAAAGCGAAATAAAAAACCCCATTGAAATGCATTCAAACCCATTCAATGCATTCCAATGGGGTAAAAACTCACCGTCCAACAAAGATCCTCCTTATGGCAGCCATTTTCGCTGCCTGTATAGTGAGGAATCCATCCCTAAACACAGCGGGGAGCCATTTTAATTACCCGGCAGCCATTTTGAAACCACCGATCAGCTGTTAGAAAAACGTCATTTTGCGAAGAATCGGTTCCCGAAGCAGGGAACCGATCATCACAAAGTGAAATTCCCCCATTTAGACCATCGTTTTGCAATCACAATTGCGATCGCAAAAAGATCGTCGTAAAGTGGATTTGTCATAATGTGGGGCAATCATAAAGCGAGGCACCACTCTAATGATGGTGGCATAGTAGACCACCTAATATTCAAAAGGGTCCTTTAAATCGAATGTTTTAAACACAGAAATTTAAGCTGTTATCTGCACAGGCTTTATGGAGTGGACTGTGCAGGACCTTAAAAAGAAAAGCCAAAGAAAAATGGAGGGAATGCCCCCTCATTGCCCCTCCCTGTCTCCTCCTGCTTAGAAAGTTTTCTAAATTTTGTATAAATGATACACTGCATCTAGGTTGTCCTAGAAAAAAAATTTAAAGGAGCAAACCAGCCCATTTCTGCAGCACATCAAGCAGTGGGCTAAATGCCTATCTGATCGTACCCTGAGGCAAATGCAGAGAACCAAATAGAGGGGGGGGGTCCTCTTAGTACAGTGATAACAGGATTTAGTTTAAGGATTGTTCTATTTAAAGGAACAGTACTTATTTCACAGCAGGTAGAAAGCTTCAGTGTATCAGCCCCCAAGCAGTTCAGGCCTTATTGTCATCACTAAAAGTTTTCAACCAGAGAACTGCACACCAAAATCCATGCCTTCCTAGAATGAGCTATCTCATTTTATTACTACTTCCTAAAGCACCTTTAACCTTTTAATATCCTTTCCTCAGCCTAAGGAAACTCAAGAGAATAGCTATCAGCCTAATTCCCTAATTCACCTTCTGGTCTATCTGCCAGTTCACATAGTTGAAACTGTCCGATCTAGCAGTGTCAGTCTCCTCTCACCTGGTTGACTGTCGAAGTGCTATGATGCTGTTGGCTACAATGCCTTTAGGTGGCTGTTCACACAAGGGAAAAACTAAATTACATGTTTAGCACTTAAGCAGAAGGAGTGCTCTGTCAAGGTGGTGAAAAATATCTGTTGATCGTAACGCCTGTTTTTTCTCACCTCTGTATCATGCGTTCCAGTGTTCTTTGTTCCATGAATGGTCATAGCAGGTAAACTCAAGTTCTCTTTGCAAATCTGATTTCTGAAACAGGCATTTATGGAGGACTCTATTACTGGAGAGAGAAAAACTTGCGAATCGCTGGACATTAATTTCCCTTAATGTTTATGTCAACCCCAAATCATCCCACAATAGTTTGCATTCAAACAGGAATAGCTTACAATAATATATTGTTGGTGGGGAAATAGATACATGCGCCAGCCACCTAAAGATTCTGCAGCTAAACTCAGAGGAAACAAGGAAGGATGTCACTCCAAATCAATAAAGGTTCATGATTGCTGGGGTTAAATATGATATGGAATTACCCATGATAAAAATTTGGACCTCTCCCATCCTTTTTTGTCATTTTAAGTTCTGTGATGCATCCTTGCAAAATATCGGATAGACTGGGATACTGTTATTTCCCCCCCATATGATCACTCAAACCTCCACATGAAAGGCTCTAATGAGCTGTGATGGAGTCAGTAGCTGCAGAAAGAGGGTACACTAAGTGAGTTTTATAGCAGTGGTTCAGAGAGAAAAGTGGCAAAAGAGAGAAATTAAACTGACAATTCATAGCCTTGAGAGGTCCCAGCGCAATTTAGAGGAGAAGGTTGACTGAATTTCAGCAATGTGCAGTACCTCCCAAATCAAGGCTACTTGTAATGTGGAAACCAGTCTCTCAAATGAGAGCAGAAGATGGTGGGTTATTGTGGGAAGCAGCATTGACCAGGTTACTTAAGGTGGACTGGCTCTGAACACACACACGTCCTTCTTTTGCACCCTCTCTCTATATTTATATTTATATTTTCACACATTTATATATGGCTGTTTCCTGTAGGAAAATTCAATGGTTCCTTTTCCGATTGTTTCAACTTGTCCAGGGCTTTTTGGTCAATTCAATGTACTAGCATGCATTATTTCCACCTCACATTTTAAATGTAATTCAAGAATACAGCAACACCCGAACAAGAGCCTTTAGTAATTTCATTTTATACTTTGATGGGCTGCACCTACACTTTGTTGCACTCCGTCCCATACAAGTCATATATATATATATATATATATGACTTGTATGGGACGGAGTGCAACAAAGTGTAGGTGCAGCCCATCAAAGTCCAGGGGAGAGTAGAAGTGGCCCCCAGACTCAATAAAGTCACCAACGTCACTGTTGCCTGATGTTGGTGTAGCACTTCAGATGCCAGGTGCAGTCTTCTGTGACTGAGTGCTCCTTAATTTTGAATAAAATAAAAATTATGCTCTCCTTCCTATAGAAAATAAGGATGCTAGTGAGTAGGTTATGCAACAGGCTTTCTCTCTGACCTCTGATGAGTACCCCACCCCCCTCACCTACAGTCTGAAGTTGCAAAGGCATGAGACAGATTTAGTACCTCACTGAATTAGGCTTCAGGTTGGTCCTGTAAGTGATAATTTCCCAGCACTTTCATTACTCTTACAGCTCCCCTCACATCGCCCATTATTTTGACAGCATTCTGATTAGTTCTGCAGGGTGGTGGTCAGTTCTAATTTTCCATTCCACAGCATAAGCATTTTCTTGGTGTCCATTGAGCAATTTTCTTTGTACTCAGTGTCTCTTTTGTTTTAAATTATTCTGATTCTTTTCCAAAACTTAAATGTGAATCCTTAGAGGCCTTATTAATTATTGCACTAAAGCCAAACAACTTTGGTTTAATGGTTGGCTGCGGCTTACTAAAATGGTATGCACAAGTGAAACCAATTGGAATGATTTCCTGTTACTATGCATCTTGTTTAAATGCCACATAGAGTTGGAAGAGACCACTGAGGACATCCAGTCCAACCCCCCGCCATGCAGGAACATCCATCAAAGTACTCCCAACAGATGCCCATCCAATCTCTGCTTAAAAACCTCCAAAGAAGGAGATTCCACCACCCTTCGAGGCAGCCTGTTCCACTACCGGACAGCTCTGACCGTTAGGAAGTTCTTCCTGATGTTCAGATGGAATCTCTTTTCCTGTGGTTTGAAACCATTGCTCTGTGTCCTAGTCTCTGGAGTCCTGGAAAACAAATCTGCCCCCTCTTCAACATGACATCCTTTCAAATATTTAAGCATTGCTATCATGTCCCTTCTCAACCTTCTTTTTGTAAGGCTAAACATTCCCAACTCCCTAAGCCGCTCCTCGTAGGACATTGCTTCCAGACCGTTAACCATTTTAGTCGCCTTCCTCTGGACATGTTCCAGGTTGTCAACATCCTTTTTGAATTGAGGTGCCCAGAACTGGACGCAATACTCCAGGTGAGGTCTGACATATCGCTGTTTTGTTTGGTTGTTTTTGTTAGCTCTTCACCTTTGGTTGGAGAGAAGACATCCGCCCAGGAGAGCCTCTACACACCAGAAAATTCTGCTTTGATGCTATTTCACATAGTAGCCCTGTCACACTTTATGACTGCCATGGTATGAAGGGCAATCAACACTGGAGCTATCGGAAGGTTAGTGTGACTTTGGGTCATTATTTTAAGATGATACTTGAAGATACTTTCAAAAGGTATTTAGAAGAGGTGCTCGCTCAAGTGGGGTAAGACTTGCTTATCATCGCGTGTGATTTTCCTCACCTATGAATCTTGCATTGAGAATGCTTTGTTTTATTTTTGATCAATGGAAGGTAAACACTGGCTTATGTTGTGAGTATAATCATTGGAGCATGAAATTCACTGGAAGAAAGAAATCATATTCATCGTAAGGAATATTCATTTGCCTTAACATCGACTTTGATCCTTAGATTCTCTAAGCTATTCTAACTTCTTGGTGGCTCAGACAAGAAACATCTGGGTAAATTCTGTCAGAAGTATTCGTTTTATACTCCAACCTGCCTCAGCTTTAAAACACACAGAGAGAAATGGGAACATTTACACACAGCACTCCCTTAAACATTATTTATTGACTTCCTTTGGGGCTGTTGTTATTTAGGTCAAACGTATCATTAATATGGATTTCATTCAATGCCAAGTGAGGAGTTTATCTTCTGAAAGATGCTTTGTCATTCTGGCAGCTTAAGACATATAAATCATTTTAACAAAGGCAGACCTGAAAAATATTTTTATTCCATATGACAGGCACAAGTAAAGTTAATGAATTAAGTGCAATAGCAATCTTCCTGTACAGTGAGGACTGCAGTCAGCACATGTACAAGTTAGTCCCCAAACCAGCCCTGTACCTTATTAAAAAACATGTTTCCCAGGTCATGGGCATGGGTCTAAAGTCATAACAGCATCTCATGTTATTTCATATCATACTACAATTGGTGAGCTGGGATGGAAACTGTGTGTGATATTTATTTGTTCACATTTACTAGTTTGGACGGATATGGCTGCCTGCATATGCACTGGACCCGGTCTCATTGCAAACCTCCGTTGAACTGTAATGATGGCTGCAATCTTCGAAATGCTGGTGTGTCACTCTCCCACAGGCAGCCTGTGATGGGGGCAGGGAATGCCACCCCTAACATTTTCAGACACTTTCCTGGGAGTTGGCCTTATGGGATGTAGTAGAAGAGTCCATAGGGATTGCACTGCAAACTATATGCAAGGCATCTCCTAGACAAACTCCTGGAGTGGCTCGAAGGAGAAAATATCACTGGGGCAGAACAAGCAGGCTTTCAGCCAGGGAGATCCACAATAGAACAATGCCTAATCATACAACATCTTATAGAAAAATACTCAGCCAAAGGAGTAACATCACTCTATGCCG